ATTAATTAATTAATTAATTATAAAGCTAACAACAACCCCATCCAACTCACAATCAGACCATTTACGCAATTTTTGTGAAGCTCATGCAAATGGAATTAATTCCTTTTCAGGTCTCAGTGGCTCAGTCATTTGTGTTTGGCTGTTTCCGATGGACTCTTTTTAACAACACAAATACCATCCATCCATCCATCCATCCATCCATCCATCCATCCATCCATCTCCCATCAAAAACACCGGAATTCTAGCCGAATGGATCAATTGAGGCTTTCCTATATCGCTGCCGCTGCTAAATGATCACATTCGAGCAGATTGATTGATCTCAGTGATGAGCAAATATAGCGCCGTGAACGTGCCGCCGCCGCCGCCGCATTAAAAACGAGCCGAATTCTATCAATCTATCAAATGGTCGAGAAATTTCGAGGTTAATATCAGTATAAACAATGACTTGATATGGCTGCTTCAAAATCATTTGAATGCGTTCCTCTTGACGGTGTAGTCAAACGTATTTATCACCAGTTTTTCGGAATTTTTTGATTTCTTTGCTTCATAAATTTGCCATCAACTATGACGTATTACCTAAAGGATTGCGCTGTTTGCCGTGCCGTTAGCCTTTTCAATTCAAATTTCGCACCTCAAATCTCTCACTATCAATGTGCTGCTTCGTATCCACGCGAATTTAACGACTTGTGCTGAATGTTATTCAGAGTGGAATCGAATCCACTCATAAAAGCTAGTGTCTAGTGAAATTGCCGAAACGACCGCGATAAATCAAAAATTAATTAGATTGATTAAATGCGTATGTCGAGACGGCCTTTCGAGAAATTGCATTATTGATTCACCGGCAGCAAATTGATTGTTTTCCGTGATTATGCGCTCCTATTTGAGCTAGCACTTCTAAATTGTCAGTGAATTTGTTCTTCCACTGATGCACTATCAACAGGATATCACTAATCTCATATGAAATCGCTGTTGTTCTCTTATGATATCATTATTTGATATTCACTTCATGTGTGGACGATGACTAGTGGCTTGAGAACGCTACCAACTCAGGAACTGGCTAATCTCCTATAAGCTCGTATGGAACTACTGGCTGCTTATTAGCTCAGGATTGATGCAAATTAACGTAAATCAAAGCTGTTTATCGCCTCATCTGAAATGGACTTTTAAACTTGTGAAATTTTTAGTGAACTAAGTAAGATCTAATTCTCCGCCATATCTTCCGTCCCCTTTGTCCGCCGCAAAAAATTTTTGCATATTCATAACCAGCTGGGTGAGCCCTATAATATGATATGCATCTCACCCCGAAACGTTGGGGTAAGTTCATGACCTTCCCCTGTAAGATCTATTCTCTGATTACAGAGATGCGATCATATGATCAAAGTAGTAATATAATGTTAGAAATTACTTCAATTTGCACGAAATAATGAAAAAGCGCTTGAATGTTCCTTTCAATGAAAACTTTAAAAAATTGCTCACCCAATTGTTTGTGTTCAGGTTGTAAAGGGCAGTGCGTAAGCAAAATTGATGAGATTAACGGTGGTGGAGGATTTAGCTAGGCTTTGGCTTAGGCTCACTTAAGGCTCATTTAAGATTTGATGCCATTTGATCATATAACATAACTTTTTACACACATAATAAAACGTGGTGAAAATGAGTAAAGTATTTTTTGAAGGCCATTTTGATGCGTGTGCATGATTTAGTGTAGTTAGTGATTTTTTGGTTTTAAAATTAAAATTTAAAAAAAAAGAATCAGAATTTTATCGAAGTGCAAAAAAAGTGATAGTTCAATGAAGCATTGTTGCTAAACTGGCTAAAGCGACGGGTAAATTTCCCTCTTTGAAAACTCTCAAGCCCGCTCGTCGGGTAAATTCCCTTCTCCAAAACCTCCCAATCCCGTTCGTTGGGTAAAATCCCCTCTCCAAAACCTCCCAATCCCGTTCGTTGGTTAAATTCCCCTCTCCAAAACCTCTCAAACATTTGCAGATCCCACTGTCCCAATCAAAAAATGATCAGATAATGAATTAAATTGAACTGAGCGAAATAAACTTACATCGTTTTGCACTGACCGGCTTGCCTCCAGCTGGTTTCACGCACCCGTTACAAACTCTAATGATCGCCTCAACCAGCTTATTGCCACACAGTCGACTTGCAACCGCACGTTTTTGGAGCGGCACTTGGTGTTTTGAGTTGTTGTCGTTGTTCTTAGGGCTAGCGACGACGAGACTGCCTCCTCTTCTTCTTGGTGTTGTCGTGCCTTGTTTCAGTAACGATGGAATCATGATCGATCGAGCCTGGTCTCGTGATTGAACACCTCTGATCTGATCTGATCGCAGAAGAGCTGTTGCTCTTGCTGCTGCAGCTGTTTCATCTGCCATCGTCTCCAGATCACCGACAGCGCCCAAACCGTCGTCTTGAGCGTTACTGGTGTCGTCGTGTTCGAAATCGAATTCGTCCTCTTCGAGTCGGTGATTCTGCTGGTTTGTTCGTTGCGGCTGCTGCTGTTTATCGACGTCAGTTGATTGCTCAAGCTCGTTTTTCAAGCTTGATAATTCTCTGGCCTGTAAAGCTTTCTTTAGTTGTGCTTCGAAATCCGCTTCCATCTTCTGTTTCAGTTCGGCTGTTAGTTGTTGTTGCTGAGTGATGCCCATAAATTGCCGTTGGGCTTCATCGTGTACTCCTGA